AAAGTGGCAGCTGACTAGAAAAAGTTCACCCTTCTGGTGCAGCTGAACTGCCTCCGCCCACGACTTGAATTCAACATCGATGTTCTCTGGAGTCTTGACATGGTCCTTAAATACCTGCTTTAATTGATCCACACTAAATTTTGAGGGAACTTCCGTAGGCGTGAAGACGAGTTTGACTTTCGTGTTCGCCGATGGTTGGTGAAAGCGCAGATAGACACTCCACGGAAGTTTTGATTTTGCTTGTTGCATCGATACAATGATATTCTTCCACTTTGCCTCCTGTTCTTCGTCCCACTCCTTCTCTGTCTTTCCCGAGGGGTCCACGAATAGTTTGTTGTCACCAGGAAAGGTCTCGAGCAGCGCGCCGCTCTGGTCCCATAAGTGAAACGGCTTGAACTGGGATGTGTTACCCGGTTTAGTAGCACGATCATATTCTTCCTTGCGGTAGTTGGGATCAAGGTACTTATCCACCAGTTTCGCCTCCATCCAACGATCCGTCAGAACGGGACCTATTGGAACGAACGTCTTTCCATCTGGCTGAGATCCTTCGGTAGGTATGCCCTTGTATACGGACAATCGAACTGAGAAGTGCGAATTTTCGGTTGAATTATTCGGATCGCTGAAGAGTAAGGGTTCTTCGGTGAGTTCAAAACCAGCATAACTATGTAAGTTGGTATCCATGATATCGATATTGCGTCGCGTATGTGCTGGAGTAAGAGCTATGTTGGGGGTGAAGAAGTGCCCGTTCACGGTCCATCTTTATATATCTCGCATCGGTCCTAAAGGGTAGCCTGATTTAGGTCAGTGAGGCAAATAAAGATGTCCGAAATGACAGACTTGACTCTAATCCAACTGTCACAAATCGAGAGCGTTCGAGGATGGCCTGGACGTCACGGATTTATGAGATTCCGGTCTTGGCGAGCACGAGGATGGATCCTTGGTCAGTAAGTTCTACCAAGAACCGAGCGAAGACGCGGCTCATACCAGGTTCATTACATCTAAAAAATACCTCGACATTGCACCTTTCTTCCAACGATAACCACCATTAATTGGGCTCATGATGCACCAGAAGGGCGACATCTGAACCCCTTGTTTGCATTTGAGGCCTCTTCATGCGTTCCCTGAAGTTCCGGTGGAGTCGCACGATGCCAACTCGTGGATTCGATTCTCCATACAAGAGGCACGCCACGATTAGTGGATCAGGTTCAATATACATGGTCGGACAGTGATTTTCCCGGACATTTGTAGAAATGGTAGCGTGCCTAGGAAATTGTTAGTCCTGATCAAGCCTATCGAATTACCACTCACATTACGACGTATGAATGGCTTGA